AGAAAGTTCTCTTGCTAAGCCCATTTTCCATGTGTCCCTCACACACTCACCTCAAAGAAATGAGCACACAGAGCTAGCCATATCTCGAGGAATGCCCATCAGCAACGCAGGCAGGAATACGAGGCATCTGAGGCAATGGTTTTCACCTTTGGGAGCACCTGAAGGGTGCTTCAGTGCACAAAATCATATTTACAAAACCTCAACGATAGGAAAGCAACATCTTTGAGTTTTTAAACTGTTTCTAAGACATATGACATATACCATATGACAATGGTACTACAAAACTTTATGATCTATGTATAGTCTACAACAACTTGAACTATTAAATAATTCCTATCTTTTTTCTCTCTTCTCCATACGTAACACGTGCCAGCTCCATGTGCAAGAAACCAGCTGCTCAGAGAAGTAAAGTGGACAGCAAGTCAGCATTGCTCACTTCGGGCAGCTGAAAAGCACATCTGCTTTTCAAAAAAAAGAGTTAGACAAGTTCACAGACAACAGCTCGACAAGCGGGTTCCCAAAGGACTAGGCAGGACTAAACCCTCTACCATGCCCAGCAGGTCTGGGTGCTGGCGGAGGAGCAGGGACCGGTGCGCAGGACGGGGCCGAGCTTGCAGGCTCTCCCCCAGCAGCATCTCCACCGTGCCTGCTGAAGACAGACCACCAGGCTAGACGGGCCTCTGCTCTGACCCAGCAGGGCCAAATCATCTCAAATCACCACAAAAAATATTCTTTACAGAACGCTTATATAAAGGCGCACGCGACCCCCCCGGAGCTGCCCGGGCAAAGCCTGTTTATTCTGGCACCAAGTTCCCAGCACCCACCCAGCTCCTGGACAGGATGCACATAACAATCCATCTCCCGCTTTCCACTTTTACCCATTTGAAGTGTTTTAGTTTTGGCTATCTTAGGTTCTTCAAACTTCAACGAGGATTTTAAAAAAAAAAAAAAAAAAAAAAAAAAAGATTTTATCTGATTCGAAGGAAAAAAAGATGTTTTATTAGCAAATAGGCGAAAGCACTGTAAGAATGCTCCAAACTGCTTATGTTCCCACAGTACTTGCAGCCACACAAAAAACTTCTCAAACGACCAGATCACTACATGACCAAGACGTGAACCACTGAGTGCATGAGAAGGAAGTGACTCAGACTGAAATTCATAAAGGACAGCATGAATGGGACAGGATTTCCGCTTACAGCTCTTTTTACATGGCGAGACTCCTTTAGGAAAAAAAAAAAAACACCAACAAAAAACCCCCCAAAACAACCAACAACCTTGATCTCTCCTCTCCCATTCAGTTTTTAAAACAGCTCTGCAGAAAAGCTACAGAATGGATCTTAAATCAGCATCCCTGCAACATACCTCCAAGTCTTCTGCCTGTACAAGACAGCATCCATCCTACAACAGCAATAATTGCTAACTTTTCAGGCAATTGTAAGCCATCGTTTTCCTTTTTTTGCCTTAAAATGGCATATTTCCAGCATAACCAGAAATCTTTATATACAAGTGCACCTCCCAGCATAAAGGCACAGTGCTGTCAATGGAAAAGGCCAGAGGAGCTGCACTTAAATCCCCAACCTGAAACTGTAATTTCCCTCCTAAAAAGAGGTCCTGATGCTATGCTACAGGGCCAGCCGGGGATAAGGGTGCATGATAGAAGTGCCAAGGTATTTTTAATGTACCATCATGCTGTCCAGAGTACAGTGGAACACACGCTGGATCCGCAGCTGAAGAGGTGACTGAACCAAAAGGACTCCAGAGTCATTTACTTGCCTTGGTTTAGTACCATTGAGGATGCTATCACCCCACTTCTTCCACCAGTGCTGTATCAGCTTTTTGGAAACGCCCTGATTCTTTTAATATCGGAAAGAGGCAGTAAGTTATCGACACATGGCAGAATCTTCCTTGAGCGCTTACTCAAATATCATGGGCACAATACATGCAATGAGCGTATATTTTGATGGAAAAGTACATTGTTAACTTAAATATCTCGTGTCCTGTGATTTATGTCATACCTTTTCAGGGAAAAAAGTACAGTTGTCCTTGCATCGTACACTGAACATTTTCTCCAATATTATTCCTACAGTACTCTGCAATAACCTCAGCGCAGACATAGCACAGATTGCTTGGAGGTGCTCAGTAAGGAGCAACACATCCCTCAAAGAAACTACTACCGAGAAACACGGAGCAGGACAAGCGTTTACTTAAACGCAGCGGTAGCAGATCCAAGAACAGGAATGTCTGTCTTCCAACTTCCCCGTCACAAATGCCACCGTGCAGATCACATTCCTCTACTGATTAGAACAGGCACTCAAATTGCCTTTCAAAGCATCGGCTTAGGAGCGGCCGGGACTGCCGGCACGCACCCGGCGCCGGGCAAGATGCCGTCTGCCAGCGGTGAGCTCCTACCCACGCTCCAGCGCCGAGGCAGCTTCCAGGGCTTTGCTTCCGAAAAGCCCTAAGGAAAGCAATCGCTATGCCATGCTGTAGTACTACGTACCGACGCATGCTGTCTTCTGCAGCAACCAGGATTTAGGATGTGCAAATCTGCTCCAGCTGCGTACTGGGCTCCCAAAGCCCTGCTCCCTGGCAGGCAGCACGACTGTTTCGGTGACAGCAGCTTGCCAGGAGCTGGCTCCCTGGATTGCTCCGACATCCAAACACCCGAAATACACAGGCCAGCTACCATTACACATTTCCCCCCCCCCCCCCCCAGCCAGATATGAAATGAAATGCTAAAAAACACACCGCAATCTCAATTAAGAAATTCATGCAAACCAACCCATCACCTCCACCTCTCCCTCACCTTACTCTAAGTTTTACTCTAAATTCGTACATTCCTACTTGCCTCTGAAGAGTTTTTTGGCTAAGTTGTTTTCTAAATAAAGACTCTTATTCTCTACATATTTTTATATATATATATATATACACACACACGCATACACACACATATTTTTTATATATATATATAAAATAGTTTTTCCAGGCTATTCTGCCATTTTGGAAGCAGCCACACAGCACCATCAAAATTTTTAACTATCAGCAGGCTTGAATCGATACACATCCACACAAAGTACAAGTTGAAACAGCTTTGCCGCTCGTTGCTCCTGACACATTCTTTTTCTTGGCTATTCTAAACACACTGCCATTTTAGCAGCATGAATCAAAATTCTCAGCTGTTCCCAGATTGCTTTTTACTCTCACCCCAATTACCCATATGGCCGTGTTTGTCAGGTATGGCCGTCTCAGTCAGGTATCAATCAATAAATCCCTAAATAATTCAAGAAGAAAGAGAGAAGGTAAATATAAAGCAGCAGCTATGATGAGAAGTTTATAAATATCGAGTGGAAGCTTATTTTAGGGCTTTGTTTGGTGCGCTGGATTTATTGGGAGGGTGGGACAACTGATGCTTGCATGGTCTCCTGTTACAGACTTTTTCATGGTTTGGGGGAAGACTCCATCATTTGCTGATCCCAGTTTTAAGGCGCTCTCTGGCTGCCAGACTGGATGTGCCGTAGCCCTGACTTCACTGGTTTTCTTGGCATTTTAAGAGTGCTCACGCTCTTCTGCTGGAGCACAGACTACTCCAAGAGAAAAAATTAGACAAACACGAGGGTTGCAGGAAACGCTTGAACTACTTATTTTTAAATTAAATCTAGATTATTTTAAAAGTGATCATCCAGGCTGACTCAGTACCCACTGAAGCTATATTGCAGTTTAGCTGTTAAGACCATACTTTATTCCAGGTCTTTCACGCAGGTGCTTCCACATACCTCATGTATTCCACCACAGACTAGAGTAAAAAAAAATTAGATAAACATAAATAAGAACATTAAAGGTTGTATAAACTGATTGACAAGAAATAATTGGGAAGTCTAATGGAGTGATTCATTTTCTTGGATTAAAGCGTTCCCAAATACAGCTCCTTGCTAGTTCTAAAGAGGCCAAAGCACAGCTGCAAATCCTCATTCCTTACCGTGCCAGCAGCACTTTTTTCCCCTTTGGCTATCGATTAAGTTACTTTTCGTGAGTATTTATTTCAGTTACATCTCACACGTAAAAGTAGACAGCCAAATAAATATACACAACATACAAATAATGGAAAACCTATGTTGTATGCATAAATTCACACAAGATATTTCAAAGTGTGCTACATTATAAGTATCCTAGACGTGCCAGCAACAAGCTTGATTACTACCTAAAAGTTTGTTCAGCCAGTTGCAGTTGTAGCTGTCAGCAAAGAGACAGGCAGAGAAGACAAAGGCTGAAAGGTATAACAGATTGCAAAAAGTCATTGAGTTAAATTTAGGTGGAACTGGCTATGTGCCGACTGGCTTGTGATGAGATTTGATTAGATGAATGACCTAACGTTTTATTGTAAAGTTTCAATTTTTTAAATAATAAGCCTCTGAAAATGTTGAAGAACTTTATTTCAAAAGTAGCCAGATTTATTTGACCACTAATTCCAATGGCTAAGATTAAGTAATTTCTTCTCAAATTTCTTCTGTTTCAACTAATTGTGCTTCCATTGAACTTTCACAAAAACAAGCTTGTTTTTTCAGCAATCGTCTCTAAACTTTCTAATAAGTTTACTACATTTACCTAGGAGATGCAAAGTAGCGATACCTAGTAGTCAGGTTTTGGTTATAGCTCAATTGTCCGTAAGGATTTTTGTGAAGTGCCAAGATGCCTGAATGAAAAGCAAAATAAAACCAAGAACTTGCCCATAAAATGCATTTCTGTTTCCTACAGATAAAAAGAGAATGACGCTGCATCTACCAGGGAGCAGTCATGAAAGATGGGGAGGCAACCAGCTCATCTTACAAAACAAATATAGTATAGCAAGCTCAACATTTATATTTAAGTTCACACTGTATTAACACTGTCTTTATGTGTGGGTGGTAGTGTTTTTTGGCATAGTTACTAGATCCATATACAGGCAGTCATAAGCCGGAAAGGTGCAATAAAAAGGAATTAAAAATAAATAAAACTGTCTTTACCATGTGGGTCTTGTTCATTTGACTTTGGGCTGCTTCTCGCTCTGCGCTCCGGTTTCTTTACTGCTGGAGCCCCTCCGCCACCGCCGCCGCCTCCTCCGCTGCTCGCTCCATTGTGGCTCTTTGCATAACCATTATATACAGTTGTGCAGCTGCCTATATGGCTTTTGTAGATGGATGAAGGAGGACTATTCAGACGGTTTTGGCGATCAATCTGTCTGTCTTTGAGCTTTTTGTGCTGCGGTTTGCTGTACTGATCTTCCCTGGTAATATAGCTGGACATCCCATAGAGTGGTATGATTTCTGAAACGGAAGAATTCACCCGTGTTAACACAGAACAACAAAATCACCAAATTTTTTCAGAAAACCAAATTCCTGACCATCGCTAAATGAAACAATGCCAGATTTTCCTAGAAATGGGTTTTACAACAAACGAAGGGGATTTTCCTTAAAAAAAGCTTTTCTACAGGACTGATCAATTCTTTGTATTACATTAAGCGGGCTCGTTTGCTGTTTGAGATTTTATAACTCTTTGGATGAGCACATATAAACAAGTAAAATACAGCAATTAGGGCAACAGGTTTTCCCCTCCTTTTCAGTCTTTGTGTTTCAGGGACACAGATTTCAAAGAAAAATCCAGGAAGACTGATATTTAGGAAAAAGCCTTCATAAGTTCACAGCAATTTAGCAGTTTCTTCCCCCGGGCCTGACTGGACAGAATAAGCCGAGATGCCCTGGTTTGAAGCTGCCATCACTGATTACATACAATTTAATTTCCCAGTATAAATAGACTTTACAATCGTGACAACTGTGCCTGTCTCAGGAGAGAAGCGTGGCATGAAGTGGAAGCTTTGGGTAAGCAAAAATGACTAGAAAAAGCTGGAGAAATATCATAAATATCATATGTACACTTGAGATACACATCAATAAATACAATCCCCCCCTTCCCGCCTCCAAGAATGACCACCTCTAACCTAAGGCAGGTCAGCTTGCAGGAATCAGAGTATTTTCTGCTTTTCTCTGTGGTTCAGTCCTCCTTTTCGTGCCCCTCTTTGAGTCTGAAGCTTGAACAAATTCATGCCCCAAACAACAGTTTTGCCTTAGTTAGCAAAACAATTGATACTCAATATTCTTCATATTTTTTCTACATCCATTCAGAAGTTATCATACAAACTTCTGAAGCAAACAAGCATCCTATCCAGCCGTGAGAAGCCTTGTTTTTCAGTTGAGATTGCCGTGTATACTGTATTACAATTTTCCAAGTTGTTTCAATTAGTCAGATTTTCTTTCTTTGCTATTTCAGTGCATCTTGGCCTTCATCTTTCCTTATCTAGCTACACGATCATATTTATATTCTCGCAGCAACTGCCTCAAAACAGCATGTTACAAATAAATGCTATTTTTTATAAGTCATTGTACAGCAAATAGGAAACGGTGGATTAATGTTCATTGGTACAATATTCACCACTTCAATTATTTTGGTGTTACAAGTATAGGTCATTCCAGTAAAGCAACCAAGGATTTTTTTTTTCTTTTTTTTTTTTTTTTTTTTTATTTTTTTTTTTAAATGTTGAATCGTTTTTTTTTTTTTCTCCCGGCCCCCCAAGAT